CTATCCTATCTTGAACTAAGATTACCCTAACCTATCAATTGCCATACACCATGCTTGCACTCTAGCTAACTCCTTATTGTTAGTTGTCAATGAAGTGCTTATGGTTTCATTTCCATTTATACTCCGATGCTTTCTTTTCATAGTCTTTCCCTCTACAAGATTTTAGTTTCATAATTTCCAAGCCCACTACATTAGACAAAATTATCTAACTGCCACTTGATATAATTTGGGCCAATGCCTAACATGCACAAAGGAATCGAGTCGGAGACCCTCAATTAGGCCCCTTTTGCATAAAGAAGTGACTCGCATTCCTAATTCATTTCTTAAGTATATTTTAGGCCTTTTGGGTTTCAACCAAAGACCTTAAATTAGGCTCCTTTTGCATAAAGCCCATAACTTTATATTTATTTTCTTTTTCGTCGGAGACTTGAGAGAGCTACAAAAGCCATTTCATTTTCACGTAAAGTTGTTCCTGCCGCAAAGAGGAAGAGCAAGAGCAACGAGTAGAAGAAAAGGGGAGTGACAAAAGAAGGGAAAGTGAGTGGATTGACAAAAGAGAGCTCGTTTTTAATTACTCTACATATTTTAATAAATCCAAAATACTAGACCATGCATCACCACCCAGCAGACACACTCACATTAAAGCACTAAGGCCAAGCCCTTCGTTGATACTACTAAAGGCCTCTATCGATGCGTGCGTACTATACTGCTATAATTAAGGAAAAGTCGCTTTGTTTTCTTAATGTGTTCTTGATAGATCAAAAAAACATATGTTTAGGAAACAAATTTTTTGGATCGTCAACAATGTTACCAAGCGAGAAAAGGTTCGGACATGAGAAGTTGGATACAAAAAAGTTAAGGACATGAAAATCACTTCCCGCTAACTCAAGCAAACCTAGAATAGAATGAATCCCCATATTGCTTTTAAATGTCGGAGAGACTAGACAGAGAAAAAATAAAACACATAGGTGAAAGGAATAAAGGTCGGTTCAACTTCAATCAAAGAACACTTAAAATCTTGCATGTTGAATCAATATATAAGAATCATGCGTTGGAGGCCATAATTCTCAGAAGGAAGCAAGAATTCCCAAGCACACAAAACCAAATAGAAAACATCAAAACTATAGGTTTCCTCCTTATGATTCGTCGATGTGCTTGTTCGGAGCTAGAGTACAAGCAACTATAGATGGTTCTTAAGCACAGTCCACTTACTTTTTAAAGCAAATTCATATCCCTAAACCGATCCATTTTGTTCTATTCATAATCCCTCAATCTTCGGGACAAGCAATTTTACATCGAGCTCTCAGTACAAAATTGCACAATCTAGGCGTAACTTGCTAATTAGGACAAACAACATACTAATTGAAATTGCTAATTAGGACAAGCAATTTCATGACACAATAAGATCATTGACGGTGTCTTTGAAGTATAACATCTAGGCGTAACTTAAGTACTTAAGCATGACACAACAATTTAGATAAGAATTGACAACTTCTTCTTTCAAGCAAGTTTCTTAATAGGAAAGTCACATTACCTTAGGATTGCCTTGGGATACGGAGATGCTTTTAGGACTCAAAGTAACGATCCTTCTCTAGTTTGAGAATTCTTTTGAAGACAATCGCTTTTGCTTTCCGGTGCTCTAGCTTTAAGTCACAAAATAAGAACAAGACAAGTAGCGTATTATATTGAAAATTTCAAGGGAATTAGAGAAGAAAAGAGTCGGTAATCTAATTGATTGGCCACAAAATTAAACTTAGCATACTTACCATTATAGAGATCAATGATAAAATCAAAACAATGAGTGCCCAATTGATTTAGAGGATAGCTATAATTTCGTTTCTAAAAAAAGGAGACAAGGACGAAGGAGAGGAGAAGAACAAATAAGCAAAGGAGAAGAAGCACAAAGCGAGAGGAAAAGAATGAAAAAAAGAGGAGAAGAAGCACGAAGCGAGAGGAGAAGATTGAATAAACAAAGGAGAAGAAAAACCCCAAGAGGAGAGGGATAATGTAGCGAGGAGAAGAAAAACCCCAAGAGGAGAAGGATAATATAGCGTTCTTTTCCCTTTCGGAACCAAAAAAAAAAAAAAAACAAAGTAAAGAAAGAAAAAACGGATCGGAAGATGGAAGAAGGAGAGAAGAAGAACCTCGACTGAAGGAAAGCTCTCGATAAGATCTTTCCCCTTTCAAAACCAAACAAAATTAAAAATGAGGAAGCCAAAGAGAAGAAGGATGCAACAAATCGAGGAGAATAAGCAAATTTAGAAGAAGAAGCTCGAAAACCTTAAGGAGAGGGAAGATGAAAGAGCTTAATTTTGCCGTTTCGGAACCAAACAAAAAAAAATAAAGATAAAAAATTCTTTCATGAATAAAACTCGCGCTTTTGATTAAACTTTTGGGTGGTTTTGTAAACCGCCTCAAATTTGTTTCATAAAAGTAGCTACGAAAACACTTTGATGCGGTTTATAAAACCGCCTCAAGAATTCCGCCTCTATACGTATTTTTTGTTGTAGTGTGTGTACCTTACCCCAAAGTTAATTCTAATACATATAGATTACTAAATAATCTTGCTCGTAAGCTATACAAATATCCTTAGGAAGTTCCATAACTCGATGTCAAGAATACTAACCTAAATGCATATAAGCATAATTAGCCAACCTATCCGTTGTACAATTTTGTTGACGGAGTACATTATTAATAAAGTGTGTCAACACTAGTTTCTCACATTGTTGAAGCTCCCGAATATAGCGTCATGGTTTGGAGACTCGTTGATGTAGCACATCTATCGCCACCAAGGAATAGTTTCGACAACCACCGTTGTAATCTTCGGAGCTTGATACAATTTAAGTCCATTAAGGAGAGCTTTAATTTCTCCACACATATTTGTTCTTGTGCCATAGTAATGTGAAAAACATGTTAACCAAACATCCCCGACTATTCTAAATGATGCCATCACTCGTGCGAGTATTCATTTATAACTATCCGTATCTAGTTTATAATAGCCTATATTTAGTGGGTGTCTTTTTGTAGTTTTTAGAGGAATCAAAGGAACTCGAATCTACCGTAACTTTGATTTTTCCTATAAACTACATTCTTTTTTGGTACATAAACCACACATAAATTCATAAGATGGTTCCTAACCCTCTTTTTAACCATATCTATACTCATAGAAATATCATCATATTTTTCCCGACATTTACTTTTTCAGATTTCCCAAAGTATAAAGAAGCATGTTGCAATCTGACACATACCAACATGAGTTTTGGTACTACACAACCAAGAATTAAGAAGATTAGAACTAGTATGATAATTGGTTCTGTATGGAAGATTTGGCCATAGTACTCCCATAGTTGGCTCACTATCCCCAAATGTAGAAACAAATGATCAAAAGTTTCCTCTGTATGGCTATGACAACAAAGACACATTAAGACCACATGAATGTTTAGTCTTTTGATATTACTATCCACAGGTAAGGCCTCGTAGATCCATTTCCACATGACACTGCTTATTTTGCTAGGTATGTGAGGAGACCACACCTTAGAGCACCATATAACTGTTGGGTGATAATGTCTGCGAGCTTCCTATAAGTCTTTAGTAACAAACTCACATGTCTTAGAGAGAGTAAAAACCAGTTTGTCGGCTATAGTATCATCCAATTGTATACTCCGGACCTGTTCCTGTCATTGAATGAGGATGTAGTCCATAAATTCTTCTATATTTTGTAGAACATCCTTCACCGTCAAGGTTGTTATCCAATGGTAATGAAGCTGGTAATAACGACCCACACCAGTTTGTCTTCCGAAAAGAGATGGCACCATCGTCGATCACCCATTTGCTATTAACTAGGAGATAACCAAAGACTTTTGACACAGAGCACCATATGGGAGAGGATATTGGTTTTGTAGGAGAGTTGTAATTATCATATTTTGCTTTTGTGAACTTTGCCCATAGACTTTTACCTTGCAGATGAGACTAAGCTAGTTTAGCTTGCAAGGCCTCCATCACCTGTTGCAGACTACGAATGCCCAATCCTCCCTCTCTCAAAGGATGACAAACAACCTTTTAGGACATCGAATGATGCCAGGATCAACCAGTCGAACTCCAAAGAAAATCGAACAAGAAAAATTAAAACCGAACAATCTAAAAAAAAAACAAATACAACGCGTCATATATATATATATATATGTCCAAATCAAATAAGAAAAATTAAAAAGTTTTGCATCAAATCTGTTACAGACTTAGGAGTTAGTTCTAATTAGAAAAATTATTAATTAATGTAAATATTTATGTCCAAATCAAAAGCGAAAACAAGTATTTTAAAAAAAGAAGGAGAGATTTTGAATCCTTTAGAAATCCTGAATAAGAAAAATCTTGTTTGTAAAATCTTCTAAAATAGTTTTGATCACAAAACCTTGTCAGTTCAAGAGAGTACACCACGTACTAACTGTGTCTAGTCGAACAAGTTTTTTTTTAATATTAGTTGTGCAAGTTGTCAAATTTTCATTAGACAATTCTTTCATACGTATGAGTATAATGTTTGCCTTTAAAAAAGCTTTAAACTTGACCTCGACATAAATACGATAGAAATCATTTCAAATAATAGATTAGAGTAATATGAGTATAATGTTTGCCGTAAAAAAAAAAAAAAGAAAGAAAGATAATCTACCTATCTTTTTATTTTTATTTTTATAAAATATATGTACATGTATATATACTTACACATAAGCACTGACCTACCCACAAGCAAGCGCTGGGGGACAGTACACTGAAATTCATTCATAACACCCCCCGAAATCTACCTCCATTATCCACATCCAATCTCCACCATTCATTTAGTTAATCCAACGGCCAACAACTGCTCTATCCAAAACCATATCCACCAGAAATCTAGATACTCCTACCAGAATTACTGAAAAACCCAAGTACCAGCGATATAGCCACCAGAAAAGAGAAAGGAAGAAATTTGAAGGCTCAAACTCTCTCAAGTCCCCAACCGGAACAAAATGACTTCGTCTATTGCCTTCAAATCCTTCACCGGACTCCGGCACTCCTCCCTGGAGCATCCCAAAGTGCTCCATTCCCACACAACCTCCATCTCCCCTTTAACATACCGCCGTTTCCGAATCACAGCCAGCAAGTCCACTCCCAAACTCCAAAACCGCAACCTTCGAGTAGCCGTCATCGGTGGCGGCCCTGCCGGTGGTTCCGCCGCAGAAACGTTAGCTAAAGGAGGCATTGAGACATACCTCATCGAACGGAAGATGGACAACTGCAAGCCATGCGGTGGTGCCATCCCTTTGTGCATGGTGGGCGAGTTCGACCTCCCATTGGACATTATAGATCGGAGAGTAACCAAGATGAAGATGATCTCTCCATCTAATGTCGCCGTGGATATTGGACAAACTTTGAAGCCTCACGAGTACATTGGGATGGTGAGACGTGAGGTGCTTGATGCTTACCTGAGAGAAAGAGCATCAAATAATGGGGCTAAAGTGATAAATGGTTTGTTCTTGAAAATGGACATTCCTAAAAAAGGTAGTGAAAATATTAATGGACCCTATGTCTTGCATTATACTGAGTATGATGAGAAGAAAGGCGCAGTTGGAGAGAAGAGGACTTTGGAGGTTGATGCGGTGATTGGTGCTGATGGGGCAAATTCGCGTGTAGCCAAGTCTATTGGTGCTGGTGATTATGACTACGCTATTGCTTTCCAGGTATAGTTAATTACGGATTACTATTTCTCATTAATTATCTGATATTTCTACTTTACATTAATTTTGTTTAGGTTACATTTTTGTTGACTGCTTTAATGAGTTCAGTTCTGTTCATTTTACATGTGATGAATTGCGTTGAATATGTTACTTAAAACTCATATAGAAATGTGGAAAATGTTCGATTTCACAACCTTTGCATTCTGATTGCTACGTGATTTTCCATCATCAGCATCGTTCTTGTTCTTCGTCTTGTGTGAGGATAGAAACTATATACTTTCTTGTCTCAATTTGCACTAGAGGGTCGTTCGAACTCACAATAATATGATACAACTAATTAATTAATGTTCCAACCTTTTTGTAACGGTAGTATGTTGTTATTCATGGTGTATTAATGTAGTTGAGGAACGAAGATACATATGAAAAAATAATTTCGTAGCTGCAATGAATACTGTATTATTGCCGTTGTCATTTTGGTTCTCGTTTGCCGTATAGCTAATTTTACGGTTGCCCGGATTCATTATTACTACTCTCTCCGTTCCACGATGAGAGTTTTTTTTATATAAATGTCTCAAAATGTATAGATTGTCAAATAACTGAGTATCAAATTTTATTAATTTACACCTTTTTGGAAATTGAATATATATATTAAGTACATTTAGTTTTAAAGGATAATAGAGTAAATACAATTAAAAATTGTATGAGTTGACACAATATTTAATACATTTTCTTATATTGTTTCAGCTGTTTCTGAAAATAAACATCTTTGATAAAAAAAAAAAAAATACATTTTCTTATATTGTTTCAATTAGTAAAATATTTACAGCAGCTTCTGACATACATCGCACCATTGGATTTTGCTCAAACATTATTGCCTTGAACTCATGAATGATCAATTCCTCTTAAATTCTTTGTCGGTTAATTTTTTTCCCTCGTATTTTTACAGGAGAGAATAAAAATCCCCAATGATAAAATGGTGTACTACGAGAATTTAGCAGAGATGTATGTCGGTGATGATGTCTCGCCAGACTTCTATGGTTGGGTCTTCCCCAAATGTGACCATGTTGCTGTTGGAACCGGAACGGTGACTCACAAAGGTGACATCAAAAAGTTCCAACTAGCCACAAGAAAAAGAGCCAAGGACAAGATCCTTGGTGGTAAGATTATAAGAGTGGAAGCACACCCAATACCAGAACACCCCCGACCTCGCAGATTATTAGGGAGAGTAGCACTAGTGGGTGATGCAGCTGGGTACGTAACCAAATGCTCTGGTGAGGGTATCTATTTTGCAGCAAAGAGTGGTAGAATGTGTGCAGAGGCAATAGTTGAGGGTTCAGAGAATGGCAAGAGGATGGTGGATGAAAGTGACTTGAGGAAATATTTGGAGAAATGGGACAAGACATATTGGCCTACATATAAGGTGTTGGATGTGTTGCAGAAAGTTTTCTATAGATCAAACCCAGCTAGAGAAGCTTTTGTGGAGATGTGCGCAGATGAGTACGTGCAAAAGATGACTTTTGATAGTTATTTATACAAGAGGGTAGCGCCTGGTAACCCCTTGGAGGATTTGAAGTTGGCTGTGAATTCCATTGGGAGCTTGGTGAGGGCTAATGCACTGAGAAGGGAAATGGACAAGATTAGCGTATGAGATATGGATGGAAAAATATGTAATTAAGACACGCTTGTTTCTTCACCCACCAGGTTTCAAATGGCTGGAGAGTTTAATGTTGGGAAAGGCTATTGGCAGAGCCGATTAGTGGGGAAAGGCTATTGGCACAAGCAATTTTCCCCTTTTATGTATTAAATGTCAAATTCAGATTTGTTTATTTTTATTTTTATTTTTATTGCATTCAATGTAAAATCTAACCTTTATATTTTCTTTTTTTAAAAAAAAAAAAAAAAATCCAACCAAAAACGCTTATTTTTGTTACAGCCAAATTTTAGATTTTAAAGTCTACTAAATCAAAACTCACATGCAGTCTATATTTCCACCGAATCAAACTCAGTTAAATTTTGGCTATTAAATTCCATACAAACAAATTTTGACCTTTCTCTCGTCGTACCTCGAATGGATTATTGGCTGTAACTGGTGAAATATTATACGCATCGGAAGTAATCTCTTCTTTTTTTCTTTTTTTCTTTTTTTTTCATTTTCTTTTTTACCTGTCTTTCAAATCTAGACTTGTGCGTCTCTAGATTTGTTTTGTTTGGTGGTAATCCTTGAGCAACATCCATTGGATGCTATTCTCCACAATCTAGTGGCGAACGGCTTTTGCCCAGCGTTTCACCATTTTTTTTTTTTTTAATGTCAAATCTTTTTTTTTTTAACAGGAACAAAAACTGGCAAGTTTCTTTAAATAAAAAATAAAAATAAAAAACAGGACAAATCAGACGTAATCCAAATAAGAAGGATCAAAAAGGCTAACTCTTATAATAGACGTAATATATATATTTATATCACCTTGGTCTTGTACTGCTTTCTATGTTAACAAAAACTCTGAAATAGAAAGAGGAACTCCTAGACTAGTGATCAATTACAAACCCTTAAACAAGGCTCTTAAGTGGATTAGGTACCCTATCCCCAATAAAAAAGAACTTATTACAGAGATTGAATCGTGCATTTGTGTTTTCCAAATTTGATATGAAGTCGGGTTTCGGCAAATCCGGATAATCCCCAAGTGACGGATACAAATCGCCTTCACTGTCCCATTTGGACAAGTATGAATGGAATGTCATGCCCTTCGGTCTCAAAAATGCCCCTTCCGAATTCCGGAAGATTATAAATGATATCTTCCATGCTTATGCCTATTTTTGCATTGTTTATATTGATGATGTATTGATTTATTCTATTTCGGTAGAACAATATTTTAAGCATCTCAAAAATTTCTTTCATGTTGCAAAAAAGAATGGATTGGTAGTTTCCAAATCAAAGATTTTTCTATTCCAAACCGGGATGTTCCTAAGATCACCATATGATGCATATTTTCAATCAACGGAAAATGATTTTTTATTCTAGTAATTCCATTGACCACGGAGGCTTCGTTTTTCCTTTAATGTCATTTTGGAATTATTTGCTACGGAAAGACGTTCATTTGTTTGTACATGAAAACGTTTTGGAATAATACTTTGTTTAATACAATTTAAATCGACACCAGTATCAAATAAAGCAATAGTATCAATTTTGAAATTATTTTGAAACACAAGAGTAATTCTAATCAAGTATTTCCTAGAAGTAACTTATCTAAGTACAAACAGGAAATCTTCCGGAACATGTTCTAGATTCTCGAGGTTTGGCAACTCTTAATTTATCCGTAAACAATTTTTTTCTCTATAATAGTTGTAGAAACCAAAATTATCATGCCTACAAACAAATTTAATACCTAAAGGCAAATCACTATAAACAATTTTTTTTCTCTATAATTATAAGTTAGAATAGCTAATCTATCGGTCACCATATTATACTATTTCAAGACATGATTAAAAACATTTTTTTTCCCAAGACTTGATCGTTGGCACCTCAAAATTTAAGGTCATATGTCGATCAAATGTGGTGTCTTCTTATGACAAAATAGTAAAACATAAGTGGAACGAGTGCATTTTGGTTTTATAACCAATCAAGTTTCGGAGAAGCCTTAGAACTTTAATGAAACGATGCATTTAATCTTATCACCAATCGAGTTTTGACGAAGTCTTAAATCTTTAATGAAAGAATATGTTTTGGTCTTACAACAAACCAAGTTTTGACGAAGCCTTAAGTCTTGAGTGAAACAATACGTTTGGTAATATAACCGATCAAGTTTCAACAAAGTCATAAGATTTAAATAAAACGATGTATTTGGTACCGCATTCACCTAGTTTCGATGAAGGCAATATGCATGAAGAAAACAAATGGATAATTATTAAATAACAATTCATGCTTAAATTTAAATAAAAGGCGAGTTGTCGGTTAAAAGCTATTTAAGGGGGAAGGACTAATAGAATCGTACACGATCAACAACACAAGACTTCTTATACAAGTTTAGTCAATTCTTTTAGTTTATCATGTAACAATTAGTTTCTACTTTATTGCAAGTAGTGCATTAATCTTTTACTCGCTTTCATTAATTTTATCCTTCTTGTAACTTAAGAAGTGTTGATTTGTCATAATGGCATCGAACATCTTGATAGCTAATAATGTAAGTGTCATATCTTTCGATTTATGATATTTACACTTTTAATGAATTTTGTCTCTTCTAATTGATAAAATTCCGTTTATTTTATTATTTGACCTTTAAATCATGTACACAAAAGGTCCTAGTGGCTTGCTAAGCGAAACCAAATCCTATAACATTTCATCGTGAAGGACTTAATCATAAATTAAAGTGTCAACACACTCCATTTTAAGATTAAATTTAACAAGCGACAACAAGTTTTGATGACCACGGTGAAAGTAGAAATGTCAAAACGTGGTATTACTAGAAGTATGATGAGACGTCAACTCTTTGAAGGGGATCAAATCGATGAAACATTTCCTTTTTTTGTTGAAGAAAAGATTTGAATCTTTCAAAATGAACCTATGATGGAAACCATGAAAATTCATAATCGCAAGAAAACCAAAGTTAATAGTAGCCTAGAACCCGAAAATGTAATTAACAAAGAACAACCTCACAATCAAAACAGATTGGGTATCAAACATGAAGAACATGTGGGTTCGGATAAAAGTAATGGTTCTACAACCGGAACCATGATGTCATGAAATAACTACCTAAAGAACGAATGATTGAATTTCGACAAAAGTCGGCTAATTAGATCGAAGATTTACTAAAGAGGATATATGATCCATCTTTGGAGATAAGCGATCAAATAAATCGACATATACAATTAATGTCGAATCAGCTTGAAGAAGATATCAACATGATAAAGGCTTTTGTAGCCGAATCATCAAAGAAAAATAATGAAAATATTGCTAAGCATACTATTGAATCAACGAATTGTATGCGTTATCACGATGACAGAGTGATTACGGACATAAATCACTCGTTTAATGAAACTTTAGTTCCATTGGCTAGACAAGTGGCAAGGAAATGAAGATTGCTATCAAACCAAGATTCGAGACTACCGCAAGCATCACTCGACCGAGGAGAGAAGATGTTTGGTAATTTATAATTTTAGTAGAAGGAAAAGAGGAAGAACTAATCGAAGAAAGGAATTTTGACATTAACAAGGAAATATGGTCCTCAACAGACAGTGCCGACTAAATTTCCTTTAGGGTATCCGCCTTTTGCTCCTAATAGGTCATTTGATAATAGAAATGGTCATGACATGCCACAACACTCTTATAGACATGCTCATTATGCCCAACCTAATGACTATTCATCATGAGCGTTGCTTGCAAGTATGTCAACACAACTAATACCTTCATATTATGGTCCTCCAAACCCACCTCTAAGGGCAACGACAAATTTCCCACCACAAAATGCATCAATCATTGCAATAGTAGGGGGAAATGGTACAACAACACATCTTTTCCCCGGGAATGCACTTGGAGAATTGAATCAAAAAGTTTTGACTAACATGATTGAGAGGATGTATGGACCACGAATGCAAAAGTTCAATTATCCCGCTTATCTAAAGCCATATCCGTATTATGTCGACGGGGAATATCCATTCCCTAAGGGATTTCAATCTCTTGAATTCACTTTATTTTCTCGGTAAAGATAATGTTTCTTCCTTGAAACACATTGCCAAATTCACTTTTCGGTTTGAAGAACTATTAGGGGATGATTTTTTGAATATGTGTCTCTTCCCCGGTTCTTTAACTAATGCGAGCATTTACTTAGTACATTAATCTATTATCAAATTCCATCTTCGCTTTGTGGGATACGCAGAATGCATTCTAGGCTCGGTTTTCAAGAATAGACCCTAGAATTTTAGTATCGAACCTATCAAGATTAAAGAATTTGAAGGAAAATCTACAGAGTAGTTTCGTTTAAGGTTAAGAAGAGGCGAGTTCGATGTCGGGTTAATTTACTTGAAAGTGAATTTTTATGCTTCATATAGGACAGTTTGGATTTCAAACTCGGAAAGAAATTTGAAGACATGATGTTTCAAGACCTTTATGAAATAACAAAATAGGCATCAAGGTTCAAAAAAATCTTACTTGAAGAATCGTTGCAAAAGAACACCATTATAAGAACTTACTATCAAGATTCCATAATGGTCGATATGGATTTTATAGAGTATGTCAAAGGAAAGCCAATAATTTGTAAACAATTGTCTTGAAAAAACATACGAGCTCCTACAAGTTTTAAATCAAAAGAAGATCAAAAATATTCTTTTGATCTTGATAAAGTAGATTTGATCTTTGATTGGCTTTTAACCAACAGTAGAATCAAGCTTAAAGGAAAACATAAATTACCAACTTCGGAAGAGTTGAAAAAATAAAAATTCTACACATGGCACAATGCTCCATCCCGTTCAAATAACAAATGTATCCTATTTAGGAATTTAATTCAAGACTTAATATAGTCAAAAGAATTAACTTTTTTTAATAAGGAAGAGATTATGGAATTTGATAGTAATCCTTTTCCCGAAATGGTTGAAATCGACTATTGACATGTTTGGCTTTTCCGATTATAAGAATAGCTTGTTGTGTCGAAACCCACTAAG